TTGTCCAAGGTCACACGGTGATTTCACGGGGTCATGCTACAAGAAATCATATCCTCTGTGTCCCCATTCCAGAGCTCTTTCTATGATATCCTGCTGCTTAGCAAATGACAGGGCTTGAAGTCTAGGTTAAGTTTGGTGGCAGTGGGAGCCATTGAAGGTTCTAAGCAGAGTTAGGGGGGAGTTTCACATGCAAAAGGAGGGCTGGGGAGACAGCTCCTCTTCCCTTCCTTCAGCGGTGGTGGAGGAGGAGGGGGACGAGGGGACTGACGTTTTACAGCCCCAGCAACCTTCTGAATGGCTGTCGCCCTTTGGCCGGACAATGGCTTTTTCCCCTGGCCCCTCCGTCACGGAAGGCCGGGCCCTCTGATCCTGGGTGCTGATGTCTGACGCTCTGCAGATTACGCCGATGGTGGAGGAGGGCTGGGGAGGACGCCAGTGGCGTGACCACTCAGCCATCCTGTGCCAATCAGATGGCGCCAGCTGCCCAGTGACGAGGTCTGTAGGACAGGGGACCCTGCAGTGGAAACTCCCCAGATGAACTTGGGAACTCTCCACTCACCACATCTCCTGCTTGTTTGTCTTTCTTCTTGGCCTGCCCCCACCAGGATTTGGGTGTTTGTTTTATAGATTCAGGGTTTGGGATCCAAGAGAGCTGGCGATGGGGTGTAGCAGAGAGTTAAGCTTGTAAATGTTGAAATCAAACAGACCAGGGCTCAAAGCCCAGCTCTGCCACCTATATATATATATATATATAGCCTGTGGCCTTTAGCAAGTCAGTTAATTTTCCTGTTTACAAAAATGGGGACAAGAAGAAAAGCTACCTCATGGGGCTGTTACGAGTTAGAAAGGACATGATGGACCAAAAACCTTTAGCATAATGTCTGCCACATGGTAAGTGCTCCAGAAGGGGTTATAACTCCTCCTCTTCCTCCTCACTGCATGATCTAGGGAAATATTTTGAGCCTCAGTTTCCTCTTTTGCATAATGGGGATCATGCTACCTTCCTCTTGGAGCTGTTGTGAGGATGTCAATGAGAAAGGGATGTAAATACATATTGCGACTCACAGTTCTTAGCTTCTCAGCTGAGCTATGTTGCTTAAATTGGACCTCCCCCTCCCAGCCAACCAGCCCTAAACAGGGCATTTCTGTTTCCTCTTAACCCCACTGGCTGGTGATACTGGGGCTTAGGTACATGGTACCTGGTATTCCAGAACAAAGGGTTTGGGCTTCGAAACCTAATCCTTGCTAGCTGTGCACCTGGGGCAAGCCACTCCAGCTCTGCACCTCACTTTTTGCTCTGTCAATGGAAGTGACGATACTGACATCATAGCACTGTTGAGAAAATCCACATGTAATAGTGCATTGAAAATACATAGTACTCTGCCCAGCACACAGTAGATATTCAAGAACTATTAGCCATTATTATTACCTCCAGTGGTCAACCCTAGCCTGGTACCGAGTAGGTAAAGTGGAGGAGGAAGAGAATTTTTCATGGAACCCTCCTGCTCAGGTAGGGAATGGAAGGGAGGGCCAGTAAAGAACTAACATTGAGATCCTACCTGAGGGTGGGGATGTTCACATAGGCCTTATTTTGTCCTCACAATAACTCTTGCAAGAATGGAATCATTAACCACATTTTGCAGATGGGGAAACTGAGGCCCACGAGGAGCACTTAGCTGCTTAAGGTCACACTGAGAGCTGGGGTGGGGGTGGGGGGTTGGGATTTGAAGAGATGTGGGGTTGATTCCAGAGCCTTCCTGTCTGGCTGTCAAGGTACCTGCAGAGGTGGGGCTGGGTGGGGCGGTGTCCATGAGTGATTCAGGTAAGAGTCAGATCCGTTTTCCAAATAGTGGGTGGGGCCCAGCAGGGGTGAGCCCTCTCCAGGGGCATTAAAATCTGGGCTCTAGCTAGGGTGAGCAGGGGGCGGGGTGTGCAGAGAGAGAAGCCCCATTCCTTATCACCAGTGGGGTGTGGGGCAGGGGGGCCTCGCTGCCTCAGCTGGGGTGGGGGGCGGCTCAGGGACTGAGGTGGAGCTGGACCCGTGGGGCTGTTGAGGGTGCTTGCCCATGGGCCCACCTGGGAAGGCAGGGAAACTGAGGAAGACGCTGACACTTTCGGTGGTTGTCATAGCCGATGGGTGGGTTGGCAGTCACCTTGATGAAGCTGGCCCCGAACCCTCACTCCCTCATAGAAGGTCTATATTTTTTCATGTATTTACTACTCATAGGCATTCATTTCTTTATTCAGGCAGCCAGCATTCCTGGGATGTTTTCTATCTGCCAGATCCCATGCTTGGCCTTGGGGAGACAAGATGTTCGCAGCCCAATAAATCGAGCGAGGGACAACACAATCCCGTGTGGCACTGCTGTGGTCCGGGAAGGCACAGGAGCTTCCCAGAGGAGAGGGGAGGAGGGAGGCGTGTCAGAGGAGGCTTCTCAGGGGCTGGCCTTGCCTGGAGAGTGGAAGGAATCTGTCATCCTGAGGATTAGAAACTTTCCCTAAACATTTAGGCCATAGGCTTTGCAGTGGAGGGATAGGAAAAGGTGGCCCTGTGCTGAGGACCCTTCTCCAGGGCTGGGAAAAGGGCTAGACCAGACCTCCCCCTGTGTATCCAGTTGCATGCTGGGCCCCGCCCCTCCGCTGGTTCAAACACAAGAAGTCCAAGTCCAGATGCCACTACCCCAGCCAGCCCTCCGCAGCAAGCCAGAAGCCTGGGTGTCCTCTACACCTCTCTTACCCCCAGCTCCGGTGCTAATCCGTCACCAAGCCTTGGCACTTCTGCCACCATTTCTCTCGTCTACCTTCCCCCAGCTCTACCCTCTTGCTCTGGCCCCATCCCCAGAGAGTTATGCCGGGGTCCTGCCTGCTGTCTCAGCCTCTGTCCTCTCCGTCCTTGCATCCGTCTTGAGATCTGCAGTGCTGGTCACAGAACCAGGCCACCGTGAGGGCCCCATTGTCCTATGTGGAACTGGACCATCCTCAGAGGCCATCTGATATGCTCATTCTGTTGTTCAAATGGGGAAACAGAGGCCCAGAAACTTGTCTAAGGTCACACCATGGAAGATGTGAGACTTGAACTCAGTTCTCCTGATTCCCAGGTGAAGACTCTTCCTCGCCGATGCCAGGGCTACACAAGTGCTTGCCGTTTCACGTGTGGGTGGGTGGCTTGGGAGTAAGGAGTCAGCAGAAAGTACAAGTGTAGCAACTCGATGGGCCCAGGGCCCAAAAGGAGGGAGGGCCTGGGAGTGGATGATGGAACCTCACCCAAGCCCTTCTCTCCTTTCTTAATAACTAGAAAAGTCCCCTTTTCTTTGAGCACCTGGACCCCTAAATCTCCACCCTGACCATGTCCCCTTTGCTGATGATCCCATTTCCTTGCCCTGGCTGGGTAGGTACCAGAAGGCCCTGGTCTGGGGTGGAAGGCTGAAGCCTGTCCTAGCCCCCCCAGGGCCCCAGGCCCTCGACCTTTCCCATCACTCCCGAGTCTGCTCTGGCTTGCTCTTTCTCCCTAGGGCAGCTGGCTTTTGTTCCAGTGGATCGTGGGAACAGCCTGGGTGGGGCAGAGGAGGGGCTTCCCAGCAGGTCTCACCTCTGCCACCTGGCATGGTTCCTACCCTGCACCCAGGCTGCTTGGAAGCTGGCACAAGAACTTCTGCGGGGCCCACAGGATGGCTAGGTGTGCTGGGGAAACTGAGGGAGAGAACCTGTGGGTGTGACCTTGGGCCTGAACCTTCCCCTTTCTAGGCTCAGTTTCCCCAGCCGTGAAAAAGGGGAGCTGAGACTGGGACTCTGTCAAGTCAGAGGTGGCTGTGAATCCAGCTAGAGCACCAACTCAGGCCAGCCCCAGGATCTGAGTTCCGAGAGCTTCGGAAAAATTGTTTCCTGATAACTGAGCACCTGCTGCATGCTAGGTGCTGCGCCAGGAGATCTGTGTGCATTACCTCACTGAGTCTTACACCGGCCCTCTGGATTACACCGGCCCTCTGCTTTTGTGTTTGTGCCCATTTTATAAATGAGAATACCTTGTCCAGCATGGCACGGCTGTAAGCTTGGAGTCTGGATGTGAACTCGAGTCTCTTGGACTTAGAGCTTGTGCTCTTCATTTCAGGCAGAGACCTGTGGCCTCAGAGGACAGAGTCCAGCCCTTGGAGAGGATTAAGTCTTTCTGGTTGGATCTGCCCGAGGAGTAGCAAGTTTCCCGGTCTGGAAGCCGTGCGCAGTCCGGGCTGGACCACTCGGCTTCCAGCCCTCTCTCCTCTCTCTCTCTGCAGGGCAGGGTGTGTGGTTCAGATAGCCACTTCCATTCTCAGTTCTGTCCCCAGGCGGTGGGTGACCTCAGCGTTGCACATCGTCTCTGAGCCTCAGTTTCTTACCTACCAAATGGACGCATTTCTGGTGCCACAGAGCTTTAGAAGCCCAAGCGCTCCAGGACCTCGGGTGAAAAGCCGCCTTAGTGGTGATCGCGCAATCATTAACAAAGGGTCTCGGCTGGGGCGGGAGCAGAGGAAGTGAGCGGGCGGCAGCGGCCGAGGTGACAGCTGGAGGGAGGGGCGGGGGTGGAGCCGGGGAGGGGTGGGAGGGGGCGGGCCGGAGCTCCGGGGCAGAGTTGGAGACGCACCCAAGGAGCCTGCAGTCTGTGTCCCGCACCCATCACCGCCCGCGCCATGACCCGTGAGTCCGACCTCGGTGTTCCCGCGCGCCCGGGAATCCTCTTGTCCTCCCGGAGGAGCCTTGAATGCCAGGCTCAGCCCCGCGTCTCTCTCCTCTGCAGGGAGGAGTCTCTGGCTCCGCTTCTCGCTGTTCCTGCTGCTGCTGCCACCGTCCCCGGTCCTGCTCGCGGACCCCGGGGCGCCCACGCCAGGTAGGTGGCCCCCTCCTCGCCCACGGGCCGCCCCCTCCCCTGCCCCCGGCTCCCCTCCAGCGGGCCCAGCTTCCCCTTTCTGCGCGCGGTGCCTGGGAAAGCGGAGGGGGCTGAGTCTGTCGACGGGATGGGGGCTCTCTGCAGACCCCGGGGATGTGGCCTCGGCCAACGGGCTACCGGGGTCTTTTTTGGAAAGACGGCAGACTGGGATCTCGTGCCGGCATGAGGAGAAGGGACAGCCCCCCCTACACCCCCTCACCTGTTCTGGGCCCCCAACTGTCCAAGCAGCCTCCGCTGCCAGCAACCCCGCTGTTTCCTGTGGGGCCCTCTCTCGGAGGAAGCGCGGGGCGCCCAGGGGAAAGCGGGCTGGCGAGCGAGTTCCCTTTCTCCAGCCTCTAACCGTCTGGGGACCCGTCCTGACTCCCAGCCCCGGTGGAGAAGGCCTCCCCTGGTGAAGACCCCGGGTGCACCAGCCGCTGGGGAGGCCAGGAGCTGGAAGCACCTTTATGGAGCCCAGCTGCCTCCTCTGGGGTCTAGTCCTCACCTAGGACATCCCCAATGAGCCGATGAGGAAACTGAGGCTCAGTAGGTGTGATGACCCCTCACCCCCAGGCTCACACAGTACATGGTGGGCTCAGGATTTGAACTCAGGTATCTGACTCCAGACACTTTGCAAATTCTTTACAGGAAAGCTCGTCCTCCCCCTCCCCACAATGGACGCTGGGCCCCTTTTTGTTTCATTTCCCAGAGTTTGATGCAGAAATTCCACCCCTCCCTCCTCCATGCATGTCCCAGGTGAAGGAATTCAGCAACTCTCTTAGCAACTTTCCTCCCCCAGCTCACTGCCTCTGTGTGTGTGTGTGTGTGTGTGTGTGTGTGTGTGTGTGCTCGTGCATGCCCAGCCTGGACACGGCTTCCTCCAGCACCTGGCTGTGTGACCCATTTTTCTTTGGGTCCCCATTTCCCATCTAGAAAGAGGCCAAGAGAGGGTGGGAGGGGGCAGAGGGAGTCCGAGTGTTCTGCCCTGGCTCTAGGAATGCTCCAGGGATTTGGTGCTCAGAGGAGACAGGAGAGATATCTACATGGACCTCAGATCAGACCAAGCTTCCTGGAGGAGAGGATTTGAGTGGGCAGCATTGGGGGAAGCCATGGAGGGGTCGGAGGGTGCTCTAGGAAAGGGTTTGGGTTGGGAAAAGCCTGGTTTGTGGATAGAGGAAGAAGACACATGTCCCCAGCACTTTATAGTTTACAAAGGCTAGCTGTGAGCATCTACTTCTTTGGCTTTGCCAGGGAGATGTGTTAGACCCATTCTATAGAAGGGGACTCTGAGGCCCAGCGGGAGGGAGCTCACTTTTCTGGAGCCGCTCAGTGAGTGGGTGGCTGAGCTAGGGCGGACCAGGCTGCCTCAACCACCCATCTTGTCAGTCCCAACCAGCCCAGCACTTCCTCTGAGGCCCTATCCGGCCCCATCCTGGCTCCCCATGGTAGGCAGGGCCCTGCTGCACTTTTATTTACTTTTTGTCTGCTCACTAATGCACAATGAGCCATGGTCGTGCCATTTGGGTTTTTGCCTTTTCTCCCCCCCCCTTTATTTTTTATTTGTATATATTCACAGGGTGCAAGTGCAATTTTGCTGCATTGACATTAACACATAGCTGGTGTTTGCCTTTTCTACTTAATTTTATTTAATTAGTGTTTAACTGGAATTGTTTTTTTCATTCCTGAGGGCGTGCTTTATGCCAGTCTTGGGCTGGAGCCTGGAGACACAGAGCTGGGAGGAGCTAACAGTCTGATGGTGGAGACAGAAATGTCACAGACTGTCATCCAAGGGGATCAGGGCCGTGCTGAGGGGAGCACAGGGGTGTGTGGGGCTCAGGGAGGGAGCAGCTGCCTCTCATTGCCAGGAATTGAGGGGGGCTTCTTGAAGGGGGTGACATTGGAACTGGACCTTGAAAGGGGTGGCAGATGGGGGAGAGGACTGAAGCACCGTATGGGGTAGTTGGGAGCCGGAGGATGAGGACGGACAGATGACGTGGGGGCGAGACTGGAGGCTGGGGAGGCAGGATGAAGGCTCCTGCAAAGATCCAGGGAAGAATGGGTGACAAGAGGGGTGAAGGGGCAGGCGGTCGGGGCTGCCTTCGTACCCCAAGCCTGCAAGAGATGAGGGCTGCAGACTCACCTGGGAGGGCAGGTGGAGGTGAGCTTCTTGCTTCTGTCTCTCTGGCGGGGCAGGAGACAGAGTCAGCTTGGAGGCCAGGCTGTGCTGGGGGATGCTCAATGCTCAAGTTCTTCCCCTCTTGTCCCTGGACTTGGCTTAGGGCTGGCTCCCTAGCTAGGGATAGGGCACGACCTGGTGACCAGAGCTGCCCACCAGGCAGAGGAGCAGGAGGCCAGCTAACGCTGGCACACGGCCTGGCAGTGCCAAAGCCTCCCTGCCACCTGCTGTCTCCTATCTCTAGTGCCAGCTGGGTCTGCGGGCCAGGCGGGGGCTGCCTCCCCAGCTAGCCTCCTCCAGCTGCTGGGTCCCTCTGTCTGGACCTGGTGTGCTGGGGGTAGCAAGGGGTAGGGACTGGGGCCCGGCCCAGCTAGTCAGGGCCCCTTTTTTCTCTTTGGCTGCCAGGCCCCTGGAGCTTCTCTAAATATTATTCTTAGGGGATTTGTGGCCAACTTCCTTACTGGGCCCTCTTGCAGGCTGCTGCCTCCGCATCTCGCAGTACTTGGTGTTCTGCGGCTGTGCCCGTCCCTTCGTCACGCTCAGCCCTAGGCCTAGAGCCCTGACTCTCGGGCCAGGGTCGTTGGAAAGGGTCTGGAGCCAGGCAGTCCTGGAGGGCCCTCATCTGGGACTGTGGACTGACCGCTTGGCCTTTGGGTCCCACGTGTCTCGTGTGCAGTGTGGGTGTGCTGGTCACCCCCACCTCCAGGTGTCTTGAGGACTCGGTGAGAACATGCGGTAAAGCTCTCTTCTGACGGCGGCGCAGGGGAAATGACAGAGAGGGTTAGACCGGCTCCCCCCAGAGTAGAGAAGGGGACAGGGTGGCCGAATGGAAGGCCTCCTGTGAGCCTGCCTGCTCCATGCCTTTCACGGGATTTACAGGAAAATGAGGCCCCGAGGGTGGAAGGGGTTTGCCCGAGGACACGTGGCCACTCTCTAGTACATATTTCCGGAGCCCCTGCTTGCTGCCTGGCCCCGAGTGGTCTGTGGGGAATCAGTATGAATTAGACTCGGCGCCTGCATCTCCCCAGTTCTCTTTCTTGACGAGCAGGGGTGTCCGGCCCTGAGCACAGGACTGGGCTGGCGTGAAAGCATGCAGGATTGGAGTTAGAATGAAGGAAGACCTTTCTGTATGAATAGTTCCCAGAGGTCTGGTCAAGGTAGGACCTCTGGGGTCCTTGTGTCGTTTGTTCAGTATTTTCAAAGTTTACCCCAAAGGAACAGTAACAAACCTACCCGGGGGTCACTCCCAGCCTGTGGCTCAAAGTGACTCTCCCATCCCATCTGTTCCCCAAATCTGGGCCCCGGCTCCTCCAGGAGGAGGGGAAGGGAGGAGAAGTGGGTTTAGGTCTTGGCTCTGCAACTTCAAAGCGGCGGGGTCTGAGCAAGTCTCCTGCCTTCTCTGCGCCTGGCACTCCTCATTTCGCAATGGTGAGTCTCCCCCACCCCTCCCCTGGGGGGGGGCATGCAGGGCAGACAGATGACGGGGAGGTATGTGAGGTTCTGGGCTTGGTAGGCTGGAGCCCTGGCTTCCCTGGCCTGACAGTGGCAGGACGCCTGGCTGGTGCCAAGCAGCACCCAGTCTCCTCTCGGCCCAGCCTGCCACCCTGGGGCCCCAGCCTGCCACCCTGGGGCCCCGGTGGCTGCTGCTGCCCTTGCTGGGAGAACTTTCTCTGCCCTGGGGCAGCTGGTGTTTATGGAAAGGACGTGGGGGAGGAGGGAGGGAGAGCTGGAGAGCCGTGCTGGGAAGGAGGAGCCTCGGCTGAGGACAGCCTCTCCTGGCAGGAGAGGGATGTGGGCAGCCGCTGGAGGTCTGCAGCCTGCCTGCCTGCCTGCGGGCAGCACCCTGGGGCTGTATACAGCAGGACGCCTTCCTGCAGGACCTCAGAGAGCTGCTGAGGGCTGGGAAGATGACGGACTCTTTGGCCAAGCGGGGGTAGGGGGGGTGGGGGGGGTGGCCAGTCTCCTCACTTGGTTTTATTTATTCCACACACATTTGTTAAGCTCTGGCCACCACATCTGGACCCAGGACCTGGGTTGAACCCCAGCTCTGTGCGTGGCCTGTGTCAGGGAAGGCGGGGCCTCTTCTCTGGGAAGCCTGTGGTGGACGCATGTCACGTTGGAACCCGGAGCCAGGCGGGGACAGTGCAGGGAGTGAGTGTGGACATGCAGGGGGAGCTTTCTGGGCGAGGCAAGGCGTGCTCTCAGTCGAGAGGGTCAGGTGGATTTGGAGGAATTTATCCAAGAGGAGCTGCTGGCTGCGTAAAAGATGGATGTGCGTGTCAGGCTTGGGTTTGAGGGAGGGGCTGCCACGGCATGCTGGCATGCCTGGGCTGGAGGGACTGCTGGATCCCTGCTGTGGTGGGGACAGGGAGGTTGAGACCAGAGGGGGCCTGTGCCTTTAGCAGCCCCTCTGCCCTCCGAGGGGTAGGACTGGGCCCTGTGTGCCCGAGTGGGGTGGTGGGGCGCAGGGCCTCCTGCGCAGGCGAGTTAGCCACAGCAGAGTGTCTTTCACAAGGAGGAGCGTCCCCCGCAGAGGCGAGGAGTCCTTCCTTGGAGGCATCAGATCCCTGAGCCGGCTGGGGGGGTCCTCTTGAGGCTCCCTGGTCTGTGGTCCTGCCTGCCAGGTCCGTCTGGGGCAGCCTGATAAGACCTTTTGGCCCCGCCTCCTTCCCATCTGCCCCTCCCTCCACAGCCCTGCCGGGACCACACAGATGCCATTGTAGGGCTATGGGGTGTCACCAGGGCTTAAGCAAAACTATTTGCATGATTCCTGTGACTCTTGCTTGTTCCTGTATATGTGTGTGGGGAGGGTGGGGAGCGGCGCTGGGGGCCCAGGGGGACCCTGCCCAGGCCAAGCCCTGTGCTGCGAAGTGAGGGACTGCGATGGGGGCAGGGTGGGTGCAGGCCTTGCCCAGGGTCATGTCCTCTGATCGCAGTGCCTGGGATGACTGCCCGTGTCATCCTGGGTTGTTCCGCCTTTTGCTACCCTCTTGACCCCCAATAATCAGTGGCACGAAGAATAGAAGTTCCCTGTGACTTTGTCCCCGAGCCCCATAAGGAAATGTGTTCATAGGAGGGAGCCTGGCGTTCTCTGTGCCAGGTAGGAGCCTCCTGCTGGAGCCAGGAGTCCTGGGGCTGCCGGGGTCCGTGCTGTTCCCTTGGCCAAGTGGCCCCCCCTCCCTGAGGCTCAGTCCCCAGGTCCCCATGCTGAGCAGTGAGGGGTCTCTGCATGGGGTGGGGGGTGCGTCCGAATGAACCTGAGGAGTCTCTGACTTTGCTGCTGAAGAATCAGAGGCAGTGCCGATTTGGGCGAGGGGCAGGGGGTCAGATGCAGGGGGACTTCCTTGTGGGTCGCTCCAGGAGGCAGGAGGGTGATGCCAGAGCTCCACTCTCCCTTCAGAGGATTCTTCTTGTCTCCCGGGTTCCCTTGGTCCGTGACCGTCCTCAGGGTCCTAGAGCCTGGACCCAAAGGGACTTGGTCTGTGCCTAGGGAGAATGGGGGACGAGGCAGCTGGGACTCTGGTCTCCCTCCCTCCCCTCACTCCCCACCCTGTCCCCAGAGTTCCAGAAAACTTCTTTCCTTGGACTTGATTCAGCGGTCCCCAACCTTTTTGGCACCAGGGCCCAGGTTCATGGAAGACAATTTGTCCACAGACGGGAGTGGGGGTGGGGTGGGGGGGAGGGATGGTGGGGGTGGGCGTGGTGGGGTGGGGGGAGAGGCAGAACTCAGGCAATGATGAGCCACCCTGTTTTCCTAACAGGCCAAGGGCCCCGGCGTTGTCGACCTCAGACGTGATTGCCCAGTCTGTGGGGGTGGAGTGGAAGTGAGGGGATGGGCATTTGGTCTGGGGTGACTTGCTGGGTGACCTGTCTGGCTGTCACGTTTTCTGGCCTCAGCTTCTGCATCTGCAAAGTGGGTATTATGATACCTGCTCCTCCCTCCCTTCTACAGAAATGGAGGGATGGTGGGAGGTCTCATTTTCCCAGTGCCCAGGTGCTCAGAGCTTGGGGGCTGGTCTGGGATGACTCCCTCCCAGTCCTTGTTCCTTTTCTGAACCCCACCAGCCCTGCCCTTGCTGCCGGGCTCTGACCAGGCAGGAAGTGAATGCTCTAGAGGGCTGTGGCTGCAGCATCTTATCTATTTCCTAACCTTCCATGCCTTAGCCTGGGGACTGGACTCTTCCCCTGTTCCACTTTGGTAGCATTAGGGAGGGAGGGGACTTCCTGTGGGGGCCCGGATGTGGCCTGGGCTGGAGAGCCAGAGCAGGTCCTGGGGGGGTTATGTTCATGGCTGTAGGAACAGGGAGGGCCCTTAGGGGAACTGTGAAGTGCAGAGAAGGGTCGCTCAGTGCTTTAGGACAGACCTGCAACTTGAGTTCATGCCTCTGGCCCCTCATTTGCCCGTTGGGGGCTGGGTGGGGTCAGGAGGCCACCCTCGTGCGGTCTCTGATCCCTGTTTCTCACCCACAGTGGACCCCTGCTGTTACTATCCGTGCCAGCACCAGGGCGTCTGTGTGCGCTTCGGCCTTGACAGCTACCAGTGTGACTGCACCCGCACGGGCTATTCCGGCCCCAACTGCACCATCCGTGAGCCGGGCCTCCAGCCCCCGCTCCTCTCCTGGGCCTCCTGCTCCCCTGGGCTCCTCCCCCAGACCCCCGTCTCCTGCCTGTGTCTCTGGCCATGGCCCCGTTCTCCTTCCTTGCCCGGTTTTGCCCCTTTCCCTGACCTGGCTCCAGCACGAGCCCTTGCTCCTGGTCCCCCCTCACTCCCTGGTTCTGGGCTCTGTGGCGTCTTCACACCTGCCCTGGGCCCTGTCCTCATGCCTGGTTCTGGCTCTGTTGTGTTCCATCCGTACCCCTGCCCCATGGGTGCCACCCTGTTCCATCCTGGCCCTGGTCCTCAGTCCCCGTCGTCCACTCTGGCTGCTTCTGGTGCTGCCAGGAGGCCCCGACTGAATGGCTCCCAATGCCCCTGCAGCTGAGCTGTGGACCTGGCTCCGGAATTCTCTGAGACCCAGCCCCTCTTTCCTCCACTTCCTGCTCACTCACGGGCGCTTGTTCTGGGAGTTTGTCAATGCCACCTTCATCCGAGACATGCTCATGCGTCTGGTACTCACAGGTGGGTGTGGGCAGGGCCCCCCTAATCTGGGGGAGCAAAAAATTCTGCCAGTTCTTGGGATTCTTTTTTTTTTTTAGACACAGTCTCACTCTGTTGCCCGGGCTAGAGGGCCGTGGCGTCAGCCTAGCTCACAGCAACCTCAAACTCCTGGGCTCAAGCAATCCTTCTGCCTCAGCCTCACAAGTAGCTGGGACTACAGGCATGTGCCACCATGCCCGGCTAATTTTATATATATATATATTTTTAGTTGGCCAATTAATTTCTTTCTGTTTATAGTAGAGATGGGGTCTCGCTCTTGCTCAGGCTGGTTTGGAACTCCTGACCTTGAGTGATCTGCCTGTCTCCACCTCCCAGAGTGTTAGGATTACAGGCATGAGCCACCATGCCTGGCCAGTTCTTGAGATTCTTTATATTTGATAAGGGCTGTGGGTGGGAAGGGGCTATGATGCCAGATAAACAAGCCCCAACCCAAGAGGAGGCGGGGAAGGGGGGTGGAACTGCGGTGGGAACACACTGTCACCGTTATTTTTGTTCTCTGCAGTACGTTCCAACCTTATCCCCAGCCCCCCCACCTACAACTTAGCACATGACTACATCAGCTGGGAATCCTTCTCCAACGTGAGCTATTACACTCGCATTCTGCCTTCTGTGCCTGAAGGCTGCCCCACGCCCATGGGGACCAAAGGTAATGGGACTGGGGTGAGAGGCTGGGTCTTGGGGTCACAGGAGGTGCTCAGTTCTCCTCTTTGGGAAGAACAAATAGAAGAACAATTATTGACCCATTCCACAGATGGGTAGACCAAGGCAAGACATATGGCATGTTCAGAATCAGGGTTGAGGACAGGCAAGGGCAGCAAAGGGTCTTGCCCGAGGTCACCTAGAAAGTCAGGGCAGACTAATGTCTCCATAGTTCCAGGGTGCCCCTTTGCTCGAACCTTGTCTTGCTGGGGTGGGAGTGACTCAACAGTTGAAATGCAGGAAGTAATGAATAGTGTGCTATTTATTGGGTACTAATTCTGTTTGGTTCTTTCCTAATGTAAATGGCTTCACATGCTTTACCAGTGTAGGGAACAAATAAGGTCACATTTTTTTCTTTCATTGCCCAAGATTCCACTTGGCTTCATTGGCAGGGGTCTTCCTCCTAAGGCCTTCTTCTCATTTCACCCCTAATTGTCCAAAAACCTAGGGGTTACTCAGTTCAGACCCATCAGTTCAACTTCAAGTACAGAGAGGACTAGAGTCTCCATCTCTGCTGAACTTCACTTCCTGCCACATGGTGTTGCTGTTGCGCACTGGTCCTGTGCAGCCCTGTGTTTGTGTGCTTTTGTGGGTTCAGAACCTTGCATATGTGTTAATGTCCCTACCTGGGTTTTGAGGGCACTGCTCTGATGGTTTTCACTCACAGGTTAGCTGCTATTCCCAAAGCATGACCATTCCACCAGGATAGCTGGATCTTGCCAACATTTTGTTGGAATCAATCTTTGTCCAATGTCCATGAGTGATGATTTTAAATTATAGCATACAAATCATTCCCTCCAACTTCCCTTTTAGTGGGTTCCCTTTGTGGTTCTTAATATCTTTTCCTGCCAAGGAACCCAGTTGGCCATCTCAATCCAAAGAATTTCTATTGATTTTGAACCTTCAACATTGGGTCTCACCTGAGGTATTGTGAAGGGATGCCTTTACCAGAACCCAAAACATTCTACCATTCCTTTCTGTAAGGGCTCTGGATGCCAATTCATCTGACATTGACATAATTAAGGAACACTTATTCTTATGATGACAGACACCTGCTTCAAGATGACTTGTTGTCTTTATGCCAGACATAGAAAGACTGGAATCATTTAAAATAGGTTGGCAAACGATAGCCTGCAGGCCTCATCCAGCCCATCCCCTGTTTTTGTCAATAAAGTTTTATTGGAACACAGTCACACTGAATAGATGTGACAGAGACCATATAGTGTGCAAAGCCTAAAATATTTTCTATCTGTCTTTTCACAAAAAAGGTTTGCTAACCCTTGATTTAAAAGATTCTACCCACTAGTTCTCTGTCATGCTTACATTATCTGTTGCAATCCTCAAATCCACTGTGACAAATGAATATCATTTGCCCTGAATTAAAGATGAAGAAAGTGAGGCTCTGAGAGATGAGATAACTTATCTATGTTCACACAATCAGCAAATAGTGTAGTCAGTTGCAAACAGGCCACGGAGTCCACGCTCTCTCTTTTTTTTTTTTTCTTTTTGGTTAACTTTTTCATCATGGAGAGATTGCACATATACACGAAAGTTGACAGAAAAGTATAATGAACTAGGTGCCCATTTCCCAGTTTCAACACTTACCCACAATTTGCCAATCTTACTTCATCTAGCCCTGCTCATATTTTTATAAAGTATTTTAAAGCAAATTTCAAATATCATGCTGCTTAACCCATAAATCCTTCTAGGTTCTAAGGTTTTTGGTGGAGAGGGGGCTACCTGGTGGTGGTGGGAGATGGTCTCGAGGAGGCCACTCCGGGCTTCCTGCCTGGGCCAGTTCTCTGGGTGAGCCCGGAAGTCCTGAGGGCAGGAAGATCCAGGCAGTAGCAGCTGCTGCTCTTTCCTACTCCTCCACCAGGGAAGAAGCAGCTGCCAGATGCCCAACTCCTGGGCCGTCGTTTCCTGCTCAGGAGGAAGTTCATACCTGACCCCCAAGGCACGAACCTCATGTTTGCCTTCTTTGCACAACACTTCACCCACCAGTTCTTCAAAACGTCCGGCAAGATGGGTCCTGGCTTCACCAAGGCCTTGGGCCACGGGGTGAGTACCCAGGAGGGACTCAGGACTACTCTGGCCTAACTTAGAACATGCACATCACTAATAGTGGGACGGGAACCAGGTGAGCTGAGTGGCCCCCTCTCTGTCCTCAGGTAGACCTTGGCCACATATATGGAGACAATCTGGAGCGTCAGTATCAGCTGCGGCTCTTTAAAGACGGGAAACTCAAGTACCAGGTAGTGCTGGGCCTGGGGGTGGTGCAGTGGGAGGGGTCTCCCGTGGTCTCCCCTAGCAAAGGCTGCTGGGGGCCCAGGTCATGTCCTGAGGAGGCCAGTCACAGGAACGGGAAGTGTGTGCCAGAAGGAGGGACAGTAAACCCTGGGAGAAGGTGCCAGGCACGAGAAACAATCAAGGAGCAGATCTGGGCTCTCACGTCCTCTGGGAGGTGGATTTTGGAGCTCAATAGGAGATGGATATTTGCAGTCTGAATTTACTCATTTAATTATTCCACAATATTAACTGGGCATTATAATATGCCTGGCATAGGGGATTGAGCAATGACCATTATATTTACGGGCCCTGCCTTCAAGGAAGCACAGGCATAAACTCTAGGATGCTAGTTCTATGAGGACATCTTGTCTAAACTACCAATGTCCAACAGAAATGTCATGTGAGCCACATATATAATTAAAATTTTCTAGTGGCCACATTAAAGAAGGTAGAAAGAAACAGGTGAAGTGGATTTTAATAATGTATTTTACTTGATGCAATATGTCCAGAATATTATCATTTTAAGACATAATCAATAAGAAACTATTAACAAAATATCTCACATGCTTTTTTCCATGCTAAATCTTTGATATCTGGTGCATATTTTACACTCATAGGACATCTCTATTTGGATGCTAAATTTTCATTGGAGATATTTAATCTGTATTTAGATTTCATAAAACTTATAGTTGATTAAGTAGATTCACACGCTCACGTTGTTCCAAGCATATTTATAAGGTTTTCCAACAGCTGAAGTATCAATTTTAAAATTTGTTTTATGTAGGTTTTACTTAATTTAGATTTAAATAAAATGAAGTAAAATTCAGTTCTTCATTAACACTAGCCACATTTCTAGTGCTCAGTAGTCACACATAGCTAGTGGCTACTAGAGGGGATTGTACAAGTCTAAACAAACAAAAACCAAAACAAAGTTTGTTGCTGAATCTTTAGGGCTAAGAACAGTACTTGGCATATGGCAGTCCCTTGGCGTATATTTACTGAATGAATGAAGAACCTGCCATGTAGTTAGTTACACTTGTGGCAACTGCCACCAAGGAGAAGCTGTGGGTACCACTGGAGTGTCTGTAGGTTGGGGAAGGCCTCCCTGGGAAGTTATGAATAAGTTGAGAGGTGCATGAAGGATGAGGAGGAGTTAGGGAGACCAAGAACGGGAAAAGGCTTTGCAGGCAGAGGGTTCAGCAAGTGCAAAGGCTCGGAGTGGGAGGCAGCTTGGAGTGTAAGAAGGGGAGGATTGGCTGAACCTGGTGATGGAAGGTCAGAAAGATTCCAGGTGAAGGCAGAGACGTCTGCAGGGACCGGGTTAAGGATTTCTGATTTCTGCCAAGAGCAGAGAGAGGACTTGGAAGGGTTTTAAGCCAGCATGTGATGCAATACTTAGATTTTTTTTTTTTTTTTTTTTAAGGATTGCCTTGGCTGCAGTGTAGAGACTGGACTGTCTGGGGGCAGGAGTGGACCAGGGAGCCCGCTTAGGGAGAGGAGCAGGGTGGGAGATGAGGGTGGGTTGCCCAATCGTGGTGATAGAAGAGATGGAGAGGGGATGATTTTAAGGAAGGATTGGGAGGCGGAATGAACAGCCGTGGTTGAGGAGGACCGGCAGCTGGATGTAGGGGTGGGAGGGATTGGCTGTGGGCAGCTGCCGGTGGCCCCCACCCCAGGTTGCCAGGTGGCCCTACCCCACAGGTGCTGGATGGAGAGGTGTACCCGCCCTCCGTAGAAGAGGCCAATGTGCTGATGCGGTACCCTCGGGGCGTGCCGCCCCAGAGCCAGATGGCCGTGGGCCAGGAGGTGTTTGGGCTGCTTCCCGGGCTCATGCTCTATGCCACGCTCTGGCTACGTGAGCACAATCGTGTGTGCGACCTGCTGAAGGCCGAGCACCCCACGTGGGGCGATGAGCAGCTCTTCCAGACGACCCGCCTCATCCTCATAGGTAAGGACCCCAAACCTGCCCTGCCCTGGGAGGTCACGCCCTCCATCCTGAGAAAAAGGGGGTAGGGAACTGGGGATCCTGGCTCTTCTGCTTACTGACCTTGGGACCTGGAGCAGGTCTTTCCTCCTCCGTGAGCCCCCGTCTCCAAATCTGTACCCTGGGGCAAGGGATGGTTGGAAGGATTTGTTGAGATGATGAACGGGAAGGTGCACATAGTAGGCCTTCAGAAAAACAGATGACTGTGAAGGTTGATTATTAGCTGGGTGACTCACAGCACAGCTGACAGCCACCCCAAATCTCAGTTTCCCTGTAGCACTGTGCCCGGATGAGCACTTGACGTCCCCAGCGCGTGCAGGGTCAGACCCCAGCTTGTTTCCTGCCTTGCGTGTATCCACCTTCCTGGAGTTTGGTAGCTTTTAGGTGATTCAGGGACAGGATATTTTTGTGTCCCCTACGGGGGCGAGTCTGCAACCTAAAATGTCAGATGGTTTCCTGCCTGGGAGCTTGGCTCCTGACATGCCTGTCCAGACCTTGTTCACTCTGAGTCACCAGCCACCCCCTTCCCCCACCTCTGGGCACCACTGGGCATGGCTGGTCCCAATTATAGTGCCTGATTCACTGGAGCCTGGAAGAGCCAGGCATCGGGGATAGGAGCAGTTTGAGGGTGGGCCGGCTGGTTCTGAAGTCCCAGAATTGTGAAACCTTGACCAGAGACGGCAAGTCTTTGGCCAGAGGCCGCCCAGCACTCTCGCTGATGATGAATCTGTGACCAAGGGCAGGACTCCTAGGGCACTGCAATTCCAGTGTTCTTTTAACTTTTCATCATCTTATGAACCAGATACAATGACACTGGTGAAAACTGAGATTCAGAGACATTAAGTGAATTCTCCAAGGCCACTCAGCAGAGGGAGACTTGAGGTCTGGCTGCCACCAAAATTCATGCTACTTCCACTCCATCTCAAGGGGCCTCTTCCTGAGTGGGGAGGGATTGCAAGCCTCAGTCTGGTCTTTTGTGACACGCAAGTAGGGGGAGGGGATTCTCCCCTCACGCCCACACTTAGAACTTCTGCTTCTGGCCCACATGTGTGGACAGCCCCTCTTATGCCAGGCCCTGTGGCAGCAGTGTAGACGTACTCATTGCCTATTTCTCAAAACAACCCCGTGAATATTATTACACTGATATTATTGATATCATACACATTTTACAGATAAGGGAAGTGAAGTTCAGAGAGATTAAATAATTTGGCCCAAGCTTAGGTAGCTAGAAATGGTGAAGCCGAGATTTGGACCCAGGCCTGCAGATTTGAAACTCTGTGGCTTCCAGTCAATTTGCTAAAAGCCAGTTTTTTTAGTGGATAATTGACCAAAATATTAGTTTCTTTCAATATCAAGTTGGCCAGTTTTCATTTTGTTATAGAATGTGCAACTTGCTTCTTCCCTTGCTTTATAGCTGGGTACTGAGGGGGACAGAGAAAAATCTATTTATAAGAATTCTGATATATAAGAAATGTATTTTTTGAGATATATTTAAGACCAGGCTCACCTTCCGTCCTCAGTGTTCTTTTTTTTTTTTTGCCTCCGGGGCAGCTCTGAGTGATCTACTTGAAGCCCCTGTCCCTCACAGACGGGGTGAGCATAATGACAGCCCCAGGTACATCCTGCACTTTCCCATCTTTGTGGTCTTTCCAACCACTTTGAAGAAGAAGTTGGGGGAGGGAGGTGGAGACCTCGTTTTCATATTGTCCTGCTCAGCCGGGCCTAGACCCTCCCTCTGGAGTGTGGGAATTAGCTGGCACTCTTGTTTTGGGGCCTCCGTCAAACCTGAGATGGAAAGTTCTATTTTGCACCCCAACCCAAAGAGACAAAGTGTCAGCAGCCAAATAAAATTAAACACCACCCTCCCCTCCAACAATGAAGAGACAAAAACCAAGCCCTTGTCATCAACTGGCCCGCCTTCCGAGCCAGTGTCCCCGTGGCCGTGCTTTGCTGACCCTGCACCCAATCCCGCCCGCCCAGGGGAGACCATCAAGATCGTGATCGAGGAGTACGTGCAGCAGTTGAGCGGCTACTTCCTGCAGCTGAAGTTCGACCCGGAGCTGCTGTTCAAGGCCCAGTTCCAGTACCGCAACCGCATCGCCGTGGAGTTCAACCAGCTCTACCACTGGCACCCCCTCATGCCCGACTCCTTCAAGGTGGGCTCCCGAGAGTACAGCTACGAGCAGTTCTTGTTCAACACCTCCATGCTGCGGGACTACGGCGTCGAGGCCCTGGTGGACGCCTTCTCTCGCCAGAGCGCCGGCCGGGTAAGCCCCAGGGGGCGCTGGCGAGGGGCTGAGGGGTCCCACAGGCCTGGGTCCGAATTCCAACTTCCTCCTCTGTAACACGGGGGGAGAGTCACTTCTCCAGGGCAGTCGTGAGCGTTCCTGCGTGAATGCGCTTGTTCGCCGGTGGTTCATTCAGCGACAGCAGCCGGGCATTCCTCCGGGTGCTGGGGAGGTAGTGGGGAATTAGCCCATGTGGTCTTGGCTCCTACCTTTTGGCACTTACCCCCTAGAAAGGGATGACTGTCATAGGACAGCTCACGCCATCTGAGCACTTGCTGTGTGTGGGTGGAACAGCAGGACATCCAGGCCATGGCGACACAGGGGAAAGTGCCTGCGTATACTGTTTATTAAATTGCAAGCCTCTGTTATGAGCTGTGCCGTGCTCTTCCAAAACCATATGTTGAAGTCCTAACCTCTAGCACCTTAGAACATGACTGCATTTGGAGATAAGGTTTTTAAAGAGACAATGAAGTTAAAATGAGGTCAGTAGCGTGGGCCCTCAGCCAACAGGACTGGTGTCCATATAAGAAGAAGAGATTAGGACTCAGACGTAGGCAGAGGGAAGACCATGTGAGGACATAGGGAGAGGCCTCAGGAGAAACCAACCCAGCCCACACCTTGATCGTGAACTTCCAGGCTCCAAACAGAGGAAATACATTTCTGTCGTTTGAGCCACTCGTTCTGTGGTGCTTTGTCCTGGCAGCCCCAGCCAACCGGCACGCGCTCTTTGCCGGCAGTTCCTAACCAGCTCCCTCGTGAGCCTCTCCTCCTCCAGGGCTGGCAGCTCCTGCCTGCTCTGTCCCAGCCTGGGGACCCCCTAATTGCCACCCTCAACCCGCACCCCCTTCCTACTCCTCTCTCGAATCCTTGTCCCTATGCCCTATTGTGACTTTGTGGCACCTTATGGGTTTCAGTTTCCTCCTGGTAATTTGACTGGAATTAGCATTTGCTGCACCAGTGAGCAGTCGCTGGCGGGTTTATGGCCTGTGTTCTTCCCTGGGGCACAGACAGCCTTTGTGTGGGGCTGGATGGTTTTCTAAGGCATGTTCAAGGAATGACCATGAGAGCCCGTGAAAAGCCCCTGGGACAGAGTGTGCTGACTCTCAAGATATTAAGAAGATTGTGAGAAGCGATAAGACAGGGCTTCCTCTGATAACCGCAGCATGGCTACCCTCTGGGGGTTACGATGGGACTGATACTGTGGTGAGCCCTATCAGGTGGATGCTCTTACCTTCCCCATTTTGCACATGAGGATGTGGTTTGAGCAACACCCCAGGGCCCTGTATTAGTTTGCTGAAGCTGACATAACAAAGTACCACAAACTGGGTGGCTAAAAGCAACAGACTGAGGCTGGAAGTCTGAAATCAAGTTGGGAATAGGGCTGTACTCTCTGTTAAGGGGTTCAAAGGGAGAGCCTTTCCACGACTTTCTCTCAGCTTCTGGTGGTTGCTGACAATCTTTGGCTTGTAGACGCATCATTCCACTCTCTGCCTCCACTGTCACATGGTGTTCCTGCATCCCTCTTTTCTCATCTTATAAGGACACCAGCTACTGGATTAGGGCCCACCCGGATCCAGTATGGGCTCATCTAAACTGAATTACATCTGCAAAGACTATTTCCACATAAGGTCACTTTCACGGGTGCTGGGGGTGAGGACTGCATCACATCTTTTTGGGGGGACACAATTCAAGCCACAGCAGCCCCAAGCTGGGGTTGGCACCGGTCTCTGCTTTGCTCCAAGGTGTGTGATTTCGCCCAACTCTACTTTTCTTCTTTCCTGCCCAATTATAATTGCTCTACTGAGACAGAGCTCTCTCTTAAGCATTAGCATTTCATCCTGAGCAATAGAGCTTTCTTTAGACCAACGCTTCTTTACTGTTCTGAATCAGAATCTTTTTCCAGAGCCTTCTTTATCTCACCAGGCTACCTGGGTTCGAACTCAAATTCTCCTCCCTATACAGTGGATTGGTTACGTCACCTGTTCGTATATAATTCAAAGGGCTGGGGAACAGTGTGAGCTGGTGAGCCACTAGAGAGGTCCTCCTGGCCCACGCCACACTTCAGAGACAGAAACCGAGACTCAGAGGGGCTCCCTGAGAAAGCACGGCAGCCGTGGACCCGGGGCTGCTCCCTCCTCTCCCTCCTAGCTCAGAAAGACGCGTGACCTAGAGCTCTTCTCCTAGGACCTTGCACAGGCTCCGGGACAGGCTGGCCTGGCTCTCAGACACTGCTGTGCTTCCCTCCTGGCAGATTGGTGGGGGCAGGAACATGGACCACCACGTCCTGCACGTGGCCGTGGATGTCATCAAGGAATCGCGGGAAATGCGGCTGCAGCCTTTCAATGAGTACCGCAAGCGGTTTGGCATGAAGCCCTACACCTCCTTCCAGGAGCTCACAGGTGAGCGGCTGTTTCCTGGACACAGTCCCTGCCCTCGAGCAACTCGCAAGAAAGCGAGGGAGACATCAAGGAGACAGAATGGGACAATGCATGTGGCCAGCCCTGGGACTGTGGGAGTCACGAGGGGCGTGGAGGTGTCCAGCCGGGGTGGTAAGGGGTGGCAGACAACTGCGCTTGGGGAGAGAAGGTGACTTGTCACTGGGTTTGAAGGATAAACAGGAATTTCCTCGTGGGAGAGTAGAGGGAGGAACATTTGAGGGAGAGCAACAGAAAGTACGAAGGCATGGAGATCAGACAGCAGGTGCCTGTGGGGGAACAGGGTAGGTGTGGCTGCAGCCGGGGCTTGTGTTGGGAGCGGTTACTGATGGGAGGCTGGGGCCAAACTCTGTAGAATTTTGGTTTCCTTGCTAAATATTTTGGTTTTTAAATACCCCTTTATAGACCAGCTGCATAAGAATCACTTAGCCGATTAAAATACCAAGTCTCAGAGATTCCGATTCAGTGGGCCTGGATGGATGGTGCCCAAGGATCTGTATATACAAATGTGTGTGTATATTTTTTCCCCAAAGATCCCCAGATGTTGGGCAGCCAAATTGGGAACCACTGTCACAGATAAAAGGGAGCCCCCGAAGCAGGGTGTGCCATCGTGTATGGTTCCCTGTGGAGGATGGATTTGAGCAAAGGGGTAGGGAAACTCCATGTCTGTCTCCTCTTGGTCACTGTCTGTGAACACGTGGGGCTGGCAGAGTAGGGCAGATCCTGGGATCAGTGGAGGGGTTCCCTGTTCTCCTGGAATAGCAATCTTTGTCACTCTTTAATCTCCCATGACAAATGGTCCCATCCAAATGGTCACTGGATTTCTGTGTGAGCTTGGACACGTTACATTACATCTTTGTGCTGTAGTAGAATAAAGGGGCTTGGGCCACAGTAAGGCCTTGAAACCTGCCTGTGAAGGGAGCAAGGTGGGGAGAGTCTTCCTGCTGTAATGATCAGGTAATTAGGGCTCAGAGAAGTAGGATGAGTTGCCGAAGGACACATGCTGTTTGGTGGCAGAGCTAGGTCTTTGACTCCTTCTTAGCAAGAGAAGGAAAGTAGCACTTTCTTAGACCCAGTCCAGGAGGAAGGTCAATATGTGCTTTCCTTCCTGATCGTCTTCCCCAAAGGCAACAAGGCCAAATTTTAGGGGATATGCTCAATCGCTCAAATTGTTCTCCTTGAGTCCCTATTATCCTCAGAAAAAGGTGGGCCTGCAAGGGTCCCTCCCCATAGTGACCTTAATGGCACCATGGCTCTGACTGTGGTTTCTTCCCCTTGCAGGAGAGAAGGAGATGGCAGCAGAGTTGGAGGAGCTGTACGGAGACATCGATGCCTTGGAGTTCTACCCAGGGCTGCTTCTGGAAAAGTGCCTACCGGACTCCATCTTTGGGGAGAGTATGATAGAGATTGGGGCTCCCTTTTCCCTCAAAGGTCTCCTAGGGAATCCCATCTGCTCTCCAGAGTACTGGAAGCCGAGCACGTTTGGTGGAGAGACAGGCTTTAACATCGTCAACACGGCCACGCTGAAGAAGCTGGTCTGCCTCAACACCAAGACCTGCCCCTACGTTTCCTTCCGCGTGCCCGACTCCAGTGGGGACAATGAACCTGTTGTGGAGCGACCATCCACAGAGCTCTGAGGGGGCAGGGAAGCAGCATTCTGGAGACACCAGCCTTGTGCTTGTCATTCCAGAATGCTGAGGCCAGCACTGACAGTCTTAAATGTTGGCTTTCTGGTGTAGCATGGTGAGTGTTGGGGTTGACATCTAGAACTTTGGGTCTCACCCATGGCCTGGAATATTGCGATTTTTGTCATTCTGGAATGCTGAGTTCCTTGTTAACCCTTCAGAATGTAAGAAGTGGTTCTCACTGGGCCTGCCAGAACACTGAGTTCCTTGCTGACAACCTAGCATGTCAGGTTTCTGGTTGATTTGGGATATAGGCATTCTAGAATATGGAGATCCCGATGAAATCTATGGGGTTCTTATTTTGCATTGCAGAATCTTGCCTTTCTGATTGGGGATTCAGAATGTTGTGTTCCCAGCTGATGATCCAGAACAGTGGCTGGTATGCCAGATCAGGCTTGATCTGAATGTCTAGAATGTTGATTTGATTCATTTTCCTGTTGAGTGAGATACCATAGAGCAGGAGATGCTAATGTCCAACAGGAATGCATCGCCGGCATCTGTGCCCGCACTGAGGGGGCAAGAAGGTGGGGTGTCGTTCTTGGAAACCTCTCCCCCCACCCCACTTAGACCCTGGTCCAAGGACGTAGAGAGAACATGTGGGCTTTCTTCATGCCATTGGTTGGAAGCCACCAGAGCCCCGTCCCTATCCAGGTCTTGACTCGTGGCAGCTGTTTCTCATGAAGCTAATAAAATTCTTTCCAAAGTTGCCTGCTGTGTATGTCTTTTGGTCCCATTCCCAAAGCACAGGCAACACTGAAGTGTGGCTGGCCTTTCCCTAGCCACAGCCAGGTGTGCCAGAGGCTGTGGCGTGGGGCTTTCTGAGATCCCCGGGGCCTGTCGCTGTGTAGATGCCATACCGCTGGTGTTTTGTTTCTCACGGTGGGCCAGGCATTGCATTTTTAGGATGCTCTCCTAAAATGCCCAAACTCCAGCCCCAGGGGATGCAGATTTCAGTCCCCGCCATCTGATTAAAACAACTTCCTCCCTTACAGAGTGTGCAACACAGGTGAGAGCACTGCTTGTGTGCCAGTTTCACATATTTAATTCTCATCTATTCTCACAACAGTGTGAAGTGGGTAGTATCATCCCCAATTCAAAACCGAGGAAACTGAGCCTCAGAGTGGTCAAATGACAGACGTGCCCCACAGGTGCCAGAGCCAGGCTGGGACCCAGGCTCTGGCTGAGTCTAGAACTTGTGCTCCTCTCGATTCCTGGTTTGACTCATAGCCAGGCCTGGTCTTGCCTGTCTGGCTCAGGTTCAAAGGCAGAAGCGTGGGGTGTAGTCTCCACCTTACATGCAGGCTACTCAGTCCCAAATGTTTATTTTCCTAAGTGCCACTTACTGTTAACAGGTTTGGGACATAGCATCGAGTGATTGATACAGACAGGGCTTCTGCCCTTTTGGAGCTCACATTTCAGTGGGGGTAGAACAGACAATAAACAAGAAAACAATGAAGTAAGTGCAAAGTGGGTGTGACTTCTCATTTAATCCACCCTGCTCTGTCCTCCCCTCCTTCGCTCCTGAGATCGGAGATGGAGCAGTGGTGACTGAGGGCAGACAGCCCATTTCCCTCTACGCCAGCCCCGAGACCCTTCCCAGCTATGAGGATCCTCGTAGGCATCAAAGAGAGAGGAGAGGATGGGAAGGTAAGGTTGGGAAAAGGCCTTTCATGCTCTGCACTTTGGGCTTAGCATTCCTCAGGAAAAGCTGTGGCCCAGAAACAACAGGGGAAATTGGGGTTCAGACGGACAGTCCTTGGGGCTGAGCCTCCTTGTAGTCCAGGAAGTCATCCTTGTTTCCCCTTAGCTGGCCAGGAACTGCTCCCACCATTGCTTCCTGGCCCTGTTGGATGCAGAGAATGCAATTCTCTGATGCAGCAGCATCCTTCAGGTGCTGGGAGTGGGTGCGGAGTGGCTGTGCCTCATCCTTGCTCACCCAGTATCTATTTTCCCTCTTCTGCTAGCGCCCTTAACTAGAATCCTCCCCTCCCTTGTTAATTTCAGTCTTGGTGATTCTATCAGCGCTGTATTACGGCCAACGGGTGGGCCTGTGAATCACTCCCAGGCAGTCAGACCCCTTGTCCTTGAAACAGGCCCCCGAGTGGAGTTACATGGGGATTGAGATCACTGCTCTGATTCATCCCCACAGCTGGCTCTGCAGAGATGGTCCATTCGTTCTTGCTCCTAAATCCCTAGGGCAGCCTGGATTCCTGACCTTTTCAAGACCTTAGCTTTTCCTTCCATCCTTTGGGCTGTTCCAGGAATTCCTCTCTTGCCTAAATCAGTCAGAATTGGTATCTGTTGCTTGCAACCAAACCTTAATGACTGCTGGCCTGAGTTACATAAGCACTATTAATATAATGCTTTTAATCTGGGAGATGTAATCAGAGTAGTGTTTTGGAGAGGGTGGCCAGCACAGCAGAACAGGAAGGGCTGGAGGCTGGAAGAACTGAGGAGGTTGCATCTGTGGTCCAACCAGGAGTGATGGCAGCTGGGGGCAGGGGAAGGGCTGTGAGGATGGAAGGATGGGGCAGATTCCCGGCATAGTTCTCTTTTGAAGGCAGATGCCTACATTAGTTTGGACTTCACTTAGTATGGACAATTATGCATGAAAGTTTTTCAAAGGGAAACATGACAAGTGCTCCAAGACAGCTTCTTTAGAGTGAAGGATCTTAATGCTCATAATTGAACACTCATTCCTGGAGTTTTGATTTGGTGGATGTGATGGCTGGTTTTATATGTCAACTTGGCTGGGCTATAGTGCCTAGTTATTTAATCAAACACTGATCTAGCTGTGGCTATGAAGGTATTTTGTAGATGTGGTTAACATCTATAATCATTTGACTTTAAGTAAAGAAGATTGCACTGAATAATGTGGGTGGGATTCATCTAATCAACTGAAAGGCTTTAAAAAGCACAAAACCCGAGCTTTTCCGGAAAAGAAGACTTCTGCTTCAAGGCCGAAGCATCCACTCCTGCCTGAGTTGCCAGCCTGCTGGCCTGCTCTACAAATGTGAGGCTTGCCAACCCCAATGATTGAGTCAATGCCTAAAAATAAAGCTGTATACAGTTGTCCCTTAGTGTCTGTGGGGGATTGGTTCCAGGACACTCCGTGGGCACCAAAATTCATGGATCCTGAAGTCCCTTATGTAATATGGCATAGTGTTTGTGCATAACCTATGGACAGCCTCCTGTATATTTGAAATCATTTCTAGATTACTTATGATACCTAATACAATGTAAATGCTATGTACATAGTTGTTGTATTGCTTTTATTCATATTTTTCATTATTATTAACACTTTTTCTAAATATTTTTGATCTGTAGTTAGTTGAACCCATGGATGTGAAACCCAGAGATACAGAGGAAATATATATATGTGTGTACATATGACATGGAAGATGTCCGGTGCCGGGACTGGCCGCTTGCCGCCACCCCGTCGCTCTGCATTTCCGCGGGCCAGCGCTGTGCGTGGCCGGTTGGAGGGCACGCTGCTGGGGCTATTCCACAGTGGAGCCGCCAGGCTGCACATGCTGCAGGCCCCATTGTGCTGGAATGCCCCGGGCCCACGAGCTGCCGCCTGCTTCTGGGCCCTGCATGCTGACATCCACTGTCCAGGCCCAGCTCAGTGCTTGGCAGCCTCCTGTCATCCCTCTGCACTGCTCGCATGATCCTGATTGGGTAATTTTTGAATTCCACTGTTGCTGATTGGATGTTAAAGCTTGTTGCTGATTGGATGTTAAAGCTTGTAGTTGATTGGATGCTTTTTGAGCCCTGCGAAGGGTATAAAAGCAGGAGGAGACCAAGGAAGGGGGGTAGAAAACAGGAAGAGAGCTGTAACTCTTGCTGGGTTGAACCTGCCAGAAGAATAAAGAATGTTCTCCGCTCTTCATGTGCCCCTTGGTTCTTTCCCTGGTCAAGCGCTGTAACACTAGCTGTACACTTGCCGCAACACATATATGCAAACGCATATATATATATTTCTGCCGCTATATAATACACATATACATGTATCCTATTGATTCTATTAATATTTCTTGGTAGAACCTTGACTGAATCACCTTGGTGATTCACTGAGGGCTTTCAAGGCAAACAATAGAGCCCTCTTTAGCCCATTTAAACAGGTAAGAATTTATTATAGGACATTGCCTAGCTCATGGAACCACTGAGAGGACCAAAGAATTAGGCTTGGAGGCTTTGTACCTAGGGACAGCAGCCACTGGTCCAGTGCAGACACCTCTGCTGCTGCCATAGGATGCAGCCATCTCAGATCACACCTTTGCTGCCAAAACCCCACTACTGCTGCCCCTGAAAACCAGCTGCCTCTACAGCCACCCTTGCCAGAAGATGGATTCTGCATGGCACCTGCTTCCTTGCTTTTCTCTACTAAGAATTAAAGTCATCTTTATTTAGCATCTGCTCAGTAGAGCCTAGTTCACATGTCTGTACTCTGGCTCTAAGAGAGCAGGTGGGAAAGTGCATTGTCTGGCTTGTGCCTTAGGGAGAAGGGACTCATAATGTGGGAAGTTCCCCAAACATAGGAAGGATGTTCCAAGGGGCTGGGAGACATGGAACGTCTACTTCAGTGGACCTGAGTTTTCTTAGTTCTGTTTTGCCTCTGCGGGCCCTATCCTTAGAATGCTACAATGGCCATCACGATGGCACTGATGTTGACCTGGTAGCAGCAGCTCCTTATTAATAGTTGTAAGAAAAGAGCTTAAGAAGTGAAATTATGCAAGTACAGAACAGCAGAGAAGCAGACTGTTGGGTACACCCAGTCTACTCTTCCAATAATGTTTGAATAAAAAAAGTGTCAAAATGTTAGACATGCCTACAGCCCACTTTTCTACTTAATCATGCTTTTACTATAAAAATGGACTTGAAATTAAAACAGCTATGTGTGAATGACAGTAAGAAATACTAAAATTCACAGCCAAAGAGACAGTCGTGAAAGTAAACAGACAACCTACAGAATGGGAGAAGATTTTTGCATCCTACGTATCTGATAAAGGGCTGATAACTAGAATATACTTAGAACTCACGAAAATCAGCAAGAAAAAATCAAATAACCCTATTAAAAAGTGGGCAAAGGACTTGAACAGAAACTTTTCTAAAGAAGACAGAAGAATGGCCAACAAACATATGAAAAAATGCTCAACATCTCTAATCATCAGGGAAATGCAAATCAAAACTACAATGAGATATCACTTAACTCCAGTGAGAATGGCCTTTATCAAAAAGTCTCCAAATAACAAATGCTGGCGTGGATGTGGAGAGAGAGGAACACTCCTACACTGCTGGTGGGACTGCAAACTAGTTCAACCTCTGTGGAAAGCAATATGGAGATACCTTAAAGCGATACAAGTGAATCTACCATTTGATCCAGCAATCCCATTGCTGGGCATCTACCCAAAAGATCCAATGACACTCTACAAAAAAGACACCTGCACTCGAATGTTTATAGCAGCACAATTCATAATTGCAAGGCTGTGGAAACAGCCCAAGTGCCCATCAATCCAAGAATGGATTAATAAAATGTGGTATATGTATACCATGGAGTACTATTCAGCTCTAAGAAACAATGGTGATATAGCACATCTTATATTTTCCTGGTTAGAGCTGGAACCCATATTACTAAGTGAAGTATCCCAAGAATGGAAAAACAAACACCAGATATATTCTCCAGCAAATTGGTATTAACTGAGTAG